TACATGGGTTATATCAATTGATCATAACGAAAGTCCCTGGGTGTAGTGGGTGACTTTTATATTCTTACCTACAAATTAGAAAGAGTTTTAATAGAAGATACAATGCACAAAATCACAAAGAGATATTGCTTAGATATTTTTCTCCTAGTGCTTTCTGAAGCTGGTGCTCTAATTTCTGCAGTTAGATAATTTTTTATTGGCTTTCTGATTTCTGTAACTACTTTAATATAATTTTTCATTCCTTTCCATTAGAAATCATCTCTTTATGCAAAAAATATTTCACATTGGAAGCTAAATTGAATAAATTAAACCATCTTGGTCAATATTTTAAAGGCAGTGATTCATTCTCACACAAAAGGAATAGAAAATATATCATATTTTCAAAATAAATTGAGTGATCACATAACACGGACACCGTGAAAATGATCTCTTGATGTTGTTATATAACCTACTTCAATATTATTTATATCCATACCAATTAAAAATACAGAAAGTATACTTGAGACACTATTTTTACTTTCATTTTTAAACTTTACTATAAATTTAATTATTGACGTATTTACTAAAATATTTCAATAACCTGTAAGGTGAACAAGCTTCCAGAGACCCAGTGTCACTCAGACAATTTCTAGAGTATGATTCCAATTAACTTGCACGAAAAGTGAAATCTATTAAAGATGATAATGATGATGTTGATGGCATGAGAAGGTCACAGGATCAAATGGAAGACTGAAACCTAGGTTTGTACGAGACAGGGACCATACATCTCTATATAAAGTAGATAAATGGAATAGGATGTGACCTCATAGAGTGAATGATCTCTAACCATTTTTCATTCCCCTGTTTGACTGTGTTTAAGATTGAAATGAAATAGAGAGACAGAAAGAGGGAAAGGGAGAAGGAGAGGAGGGAAATAAAATGGATAAATAAATTAGCCTGAATCCTGGTTTTGTGAGGAATTATTCTGAGTAATGTATACATATTATTCTTTCAAAGTCTTTTTAAGAATGTACATTGTATTCCTATATAATAAATACTTGGGAATAAATATTTCTGGAGATTTGATGCATATTTTTTCTAATCTGACGTCCAAACTAAACCTTTATTTGATTATGGTTTGCCAGTACTTCTTTTCCCACTGATTCTACAAGAACTGTCACTTCATCATAATGTTTACCCTAGAACCTAACTCCAGAAAAAAACTGATACAGGGTATCATAACCTGCTTATTCCTCACTCCTTAAAATCTCTTTGTACTTAGCTCAGTGGCTTCCCTTTGGAACTATCAAGGTTTATCTGCATATATAGTTCTTAAGTGGAGGAAAAAACATATTTAGAGACAAATTTTTTATTACTGAAATATTTAAACTGTAGAGATGTTTGTCTATAATAAGGATAATTTCTGTGAGAATTGACTCATTGGTTTTCTAATAACAGGACCAATTAAATGACCCATCTCTAATAATTGTCATTGGAACTTGGGCTAATATAAATCATATCTAGGGTAGCATTCTCCAGTGAAGCCAACATTTCAGTGTTTTAATTTTTCGAGTATATTTAAGATTAAAAAAAAAAAAAAACTTAAGAAACATGCTCTTTAAAAGAGATTGTCTTTGGGAGATTTTCTTTGTCTCCTTAATATTGTTAACCTGAAAATGCAAGGGAAAATAACTGAATTCACGAGGCTCATGAAAAACTTAGTTGTCCATACATTAATAATGTTTTTTCCAGTTCTAAGAATGGGGCTTATTTGATATAGTTTAGGGTCAAATTTGAACAATGTGGGTTTTTTTTTGTTCGTCTTTTTCTATAGAGTAACAAGATTACCTGAAAGATAAATTATGCATCATCATATAAAATATCATCTCCGTTCAAGAAACGGTTTTTCTTTTTTTCTTTTTTTTTTCTTTTTATAGAGGCATGTTATTTTTTTTTTATTTGTTTGTTTGTTCGTTTTGTTTATACATGCACTGGGTACAGTCAGAAATGCAGGAGGGTGAGAGAATTCACCAGAGCCAGAACAGGGAGCAGAGCAGGCAGAAGGACCGAAGCACACTGCTGAGGGGAGCAGCGGGCGTCAGGAGAGGTCTGCGCGCCATGTGGGACCCTCCTCCAGTGGCGGGGGGAAGCCGGGGATCAAACCGGCGCCTCAGAGGCTGCAGGCAGCTTCGCAACCCAGAGCTCAACCGCTGCGCCACCGGGGAGGCCCAAGAAATGGTTTTTCCACAACAAGGTTGCCAGACAAATGAAATGACTAGAACTAAATCGTATAAATCATTGGTTAGGTGTATTGATTTCATGTGATCATGAAAAGGTTTAACCCTAGAGTTTATATAAATATATAAATATAGTAAGGTATAAAGTCCCCATTCTGTTTATTGCATCTGTCAAATCACAAATGTCTGATTTCATTTTCTGACAATTAAAATTGGATTTCATAAGTAACCAGCATATGCATATTTTTTCCAGTACTCTAGTTACTTAAATAACTGCCTTATCTGTGCATTTCATCTTAGAGGTCACTGAATCCATCTGGAATGCTAAATGGCTATTTTTGACTAGCAAGTTAAGAAGTCAAAGAAAATAACGAGGCCAAAAATACTGTCTTGGATATAGTGGCTTGGCCCATACAGCGCCTTGTATATTCTTTCAACATACTTTGCTCTGCTTTGATGGTGTCATTGCCAAAAAAGCCCTTTTGTTGATTTTTGTTTGTTTGTTTTGGTGAATCCAAATTACTGCTAACCAGATATACCCTTGAAGCTTTAAGTTCACCTTTTCCAAGACATTGTTATCTAGTCATGCCATCACTGTACCACTAGCTTGTAATATCCTGCTTGAAAATAGTGGTATTGGCAAGCTTTCCACACCCACAAATAAATCTATAGTGCTATCTGATAGCGTTGAAAGGCAATCATCCCCTTTTTCTCACATTTCTTCAGTGTAGTGTTTTCAATGTTCTTACTTTGATTACTCAGAATATACTGAATTAAGCAATTTCATCTACCATATTTAAATAAGTTTATTTGAAGCAAAGACATAGATGAACAGAAGTATATATACGTACATAACAAACAGAAAGGAATCATCCAATATTTATCCAGTGTTATAACCTTTCAGAAAATTTATTATTTAATTTTAAAAGCTTGAGGAGGAGCAACAAAAGAAAACTTGTGACTGAACTTATGACCTGGCATCAAAACTATGTGCAAATCAATTTGTGACCTTGAAAAAATTATAACTTTTGTTATCATTACTTTGTTCTTAGGGATAAACCCATTAAAATCAAATAAAAAGGCATTAAACCCAGCTGTCAACATTATTTGCATGCTTCTAATTATGAACAGAGGAACTGTTGTATAAATGCAACCCTTTTTATGATGATCCAAAATATAACTACAGATTATCTAATTCTTATGTAAAGTTATTTGTATAAAATGTACAAATGAAACAAACCTGGTTTTGAAAGCAATAAGAAAACATTGATCAAAATTTGACTAGAAAGAAAGAAAAAATGCGTAAATATTTCTAGACATTTAGATAATCCCTTCACTGTTAAAGTGATGTAAAGGTAATAATATTCTTTGCTCCATTAGTAACTTTTAGTTTGTGCATTTTTTTTAAATATTTGTTTAGCATATGTTTTGGCACAAGTAAGTTTTCTGGATCAGACATAAATTATTTACCAATTTCAGTTTAAAATTATAGGTAATGTTTTCAGGTTTTAAATACTATGTCTTCTGATTTTCTCATCAGTTTGTCTTTAATCCTTCTTATGAATACTTAAACACTAGGGTCTTTTAGAAATTTGGACATATGTAAATCTCAGAAATTTCAGCAGATTTTAAATAAGCATATCTTCTTTTGGGACCAACAATATTCTCCTAGAATTGTTCGAAGTATTTTCTGAAGGCAAAAGCACCATGTGTAGTTACAATAAAATTCCCATTTAATTATAATGTGACTGACTGTAAAATATGATATTAACATGTCAAGTCAATTTCATGCTTCCCTCTTCTCAGGCTATTTAGCACAACAAATTTCATGCTAATCAATTTGAGCATTTAATGTCAAAAATGGAAATTTGGCATTTCTGCATATCTTATGAAACATATGTATGTATATACAGATTTATGGTAATGTGGTTATGTATTTCAGTTGAAATTATCATAAATATTTAAGCATAATTTGATATTATAATAATTTAGATTTTAAAAAGAGAGGATATTCATTACATTAAAATATGCAAAAATAGAGCATAACTAGTTATGTCCACCTGATGTGATGATAATGATCCTTATTTCTTCCTTTTACTTGTAGTCCTTTGCTTTTCTATAGTGTAAATGAAGAATTGGTTAATTAGGTGAACATTAAAACCTTGTGAAGTTGACATTAATAACTTAAGGCTAATTAGTGGATACAGAATGGACTTTGTAAATAATAATACGTGAACCTGGATCTGTCTCTCTATGTGACAGAATAGACTCTCTGTAGCTGAACATAGGACCAAATGTGATTGGTTAGATGATTTGAGAGGGAGCAAATGCAGAACCACTGGTGGGAATGCATACCTGAGTGAGAGAGGGGGGCATGGAGCTATGCACCTGAGTTCTCATCTCCTTGGCTTTTATTCTGTAACCATGGACAATACACAACACTCACAAAATTTCAAATGACTGTACATGTCAAAGGCACTCAGTTGTTCTCTCTTGGGAACAAGACAGTGTAGGAAATATTTCAAGAGAAAAAAAAAAATACAGCATGAATTCCCAAGCTCTGACTTCCCACATCTCTGTCTAACCAGTCATATATTTTCCAAGTAACCCAAAGCATTTGAACTAAAGACAAAGTTCCTGAATGGTATTAAACTAAAGACAAAATACCTAAGGAGATGGCACATAGGAAAAAATTATAGTTCAAACCCTTTCAACAAATTTAAATGTTAAAATCAATAATATTACTGAATAAAATATTTACAACCAAAAGGGATTAATGGCCATTCATATTATCCAGTATAAAATCCAAAATTACTTAGATATGAAAAGCCAAGGATGTGGAACTTATTCTAATATGAAAGGAAAAGCAATAAAGACTGGCCTTGAGAAAATTAGCTTTAACTAAGAGACAAAGACTTAAGAAAGTAGCTATCATAATGATTTCATAAATTAAAGCAACATGCTCGTAAAACATGACCTCGCAATAAAAAGGACTTACTAATGAAGGACAGGAAGAATAAAGAGTTAAATTCTGGAATTTGAAATTTAATTTTTGTGAAATATATTCCCTGGATGGACTTAGTAAAATTAAAAGGGAAGTACAAACTAAACATACCTTTATAGACATAATCCAAGGTGATGTATACACAAAATGAATATTGACAAATACTAGCATAATTTCAGAGGATCTCAAATGATCAGACATATTTTTACTTGGGATAATGGGAGGATAGCAAAAATGAGAAAACATCTTTTAAATACTCACAATTTCCTCAAATTTATAGAAAGAAAGTTTAGGCCAAAGATGAAGATAAAGCACAAAATACACAAATAAGCTCAGGCACATCTTTAAACTGTTTGAAACCAAATTAATATAGCAAATCTTGAAAGCTGCAAAAGAAAAAAAAATTACTTAAGGACAATAAAGATCCAATTAATTGCTGAAATATAAGATATCAGAGGGAGAAGAGAGTAGAACAACACTTAGAAACACAAAATAAAGTGTTAGCCATCTAGGAAAAAAATTCAAGAACAAAGGTGAAATGGACAAAGAAAATGAAGAGAATTAGTTAAAAGCAGACTCACAAAGAGGAAAGATTTTTTTTCTCCTTTTAAATGTTATGACAAGTGAAAATACATGCTCAGAAAAGAATGAAGACCATTAGAAATGATAACAGTATTTGTGTTAGTGCAAAAATACAGAATTTCTTCATTTCTTGTTTATTTATAAACCATGTAATTGAATTAGACTAACCATTAGTCTATGCAATTTGTAATATGTTTAAATCTTAAATAATATTTATTGAGAGGGATAAACGAAAAGGTAGAATATACTTGAATACATGGAAATTTCTGTAAAACATCCAGGCCCATGCTCACAGGGACAACTGAAAGTGTTAAGTGTTTATTTAGAACCATGGAAAAATCACCATGTTTCTAGCATAATAATTTAGCACAACAAATTGAAGAAAGAAAATACAACTATAGAAGTAAAATAAATGAAATAGAAATAACATTAAGACAAAAAACTCAAACTTTAAAAAAATCATGAAAATACATAGACCCTTGTAGATATACCAGAGAGAAAATATATATAAATTACCAAAATCAGAAATGACAGAATATATCACAATAGAACTGTTAGAAAATATAGTAAGATAGGATAATTGTGAAGTATTTTTGGCCATAAGTTTGACAAATAAATTAAAAAAAATTATCCTGACCCTACAAAAAAAATTAAAAACTAGGCCTCCCTGGTGGCGCAATGGTTGAGCACTGGGTTGCGAAGCTGCCCGCAGCCTCTGCAGCGCTGGTTCGATCCCCAGATGCTGGGCGAGGGTCCCACATGGCGTGCAGACCTCTCCTGCCGCCTACTGCTCCCTTAGCAGTGTATTTCGTCTGTCTGACTGTTCTGCTCCCTGCTTTGGCTCTGGTGAATTCTCTCACCCTCCCACACTTCTGTCTGTACCCAGTGCTTGTATAAATAAATAAATAAATCTTTAAAAATTAATTAATTGATAAACAATGTTTAAAAAATTAAAAACTCATATCAAATAACAAAACAATATTTAAAATGAAATTGTCCTACAAAGAAAAGTCTAGCCTTAGATGTATTAAACAATTTCTGTAAATATTTTAGGAGGAAATGCTATTTAATATTTATCATGTTTCAAGGAATAAAATTAGCATAAATCTGTTCAAAGGTCACTTATAAATCCCTCAAGTATGGGTAAGTCTCTTAGAAACTAGATGCATTCCTGTTGAAAGTCAGGAAACAAATTGAGAATGCATGTATTTTCTACAACATTTGTATTAAAATAATGTTCTGAATTACTTCTCAAAAGAACCAACAAAAAAAACCAAGGCAAAACTTCCAATCAATAAAACACACATTTGTCTCTCCTAACTATTTAAATGAAAGAAGTGGGATGCTCTCCATCTCTGAATCACATTATAATGTATTTAAAGCAATCTCACCTTAGTAAATATATTTAAGCGAAACAATGGAAGGTGTGTCATTTTTCAAAGATAGTGCAGTTGTACCAATTGAAAAAATAGAAGGGTTATTTTGCAAGTTCAAATAATTTTCAGTGAGTCCTGAGGAGGTATGTCTCATGGTTCTGTATTTTTCAGGTATACTGTAGAATTTTGTGTTTACTCGCATGAGGTTATAAGTCCAGTGAATCTAGACTTGGGCAGCGATCCCAGTTTCTTTAATTATCGAGAACAAAGTCCTGGCTTGGTTTGTAATTTTTGCATAGATAAGCTTATTTGCTAAATATAAGTAACATAAATCAGTCAGTGGAACTTAATTTCTGTCAATATATAGACATAAAGATGTAGGCATTTTAAAATTGAATGAGTATATCTAATCACTGCATCACATGTCTAAATGTAAAGACATTTTCTCCTATTTTAGAGATAAAGTCTATCACATGAAACTATTAACTGAGGTGTTTTAAACCATAGAAGTAAGAGAAGTCACATTTCATATTTAGTCAGTTTGATTTTAGTGCCTACATTTACTAAGCTACATTGAAGTGTCTATCATGAAATCTGGATAGAAAATTAAAGACATGCTTATTGCATTTATAAATTTAAAAAGGTAATATTGTTGGTAATCATGGCAATGTGCTGGTACAAGAAATACTTACTCAATGTTGTCTATTCTCCATTAGTAATCTGCTTATGATAGATTCCACTGTGTATGTATTTTTCTCCTGACATGTAGATTAAGCTTCTTTCTACAATGTCATAAAACAGCACAGAAATAAATATGAATTCCAAACTCATTGTCTAACATAATAGAGTCAGACACAGTCTGTGCTGAAAATAAGTAGTTCCAGGCTGTAAACTACAGTAGTTGTATGAAAATAAGAGTACTACTAGTCATTTGGGGAACATCTTAAGAATGCTTACCTGAAAATCATTTGTAAAGGCAATATAGGGTCTTCACATAAAGCCCACAGCCAGTGGTAAATTATCCTGAAGAGCTTGACACTTGTTACGCTCATTCTTATTTATAACATTATAAATACCCCTAGAAACTAGATAGAAGTATAATCTAAATTTTCACATAAACAATCTTCTTATAAATTGAAAGCTATAAGGTCAAAACAGCACAATTATAGGAAATAGTGCTAGCTTCTGATAGATAGCATACTTTAGACATTTTACTAATGTTGATGCTGTTCAAATAGATAATTCCTTAAAATATTTTTACTGACCATTTCTAATTTTGATTCTTAATGAATAGCAAGCAGGAGGCATATTTATTGGCAGTGCCTTCCCCCTCCTTCAGTATAGAAGTAAAGTTTTCAGAATATGAAATCATTTATTCCTGGTAGCTGAATAAGTTCATTTGTATGTAATTCCAAAGCAGGTAAAAACAAAGTCCCTTCTAAGCCAAGTTGTTGAACAGCATGGGATGCTAAGCATATGAGAAGTGATTGCAGAAATATTCTGAAGCACAATCTTATTGCAGCTATTTCTTCAAACCTCTTACTGTGTTTGTTTAATGCATTTTCCCTCTGAGCGACGTTTTCTAAAAATGCATTTCCCATTTAGCAAGGAATTATTATGTGTGTAACAGAAATATTGACACATGCTGTTCTGTATACTAAGCAGAAAGTAATCCTCTGTGAGGAATGCGACAAAAGCAGTAAAATTTATGTTTTGAAATGGAATTTTTTATGATTTAATGTCATTTTAATAATATTATACTTTTATTATGACTAACATATACTTAAGTAAAATCAGGAAAAACATGGATGAAAAGGATTTTGTAAAATAATTAAATCTTCAGTGTCAATATCACCCTGAAGACATTTTATCAGAAACACATCATTGACTATTTACCTATATTCATGTGCATGTGTGTGTGTGTGCGTGTATGTATCTTTTTGTAGTTCAATGGGTATACAGCTAAGAGAATGAATGGATGAATAAAAGGAAGTGATAGAAAATAGAGGTATAAAAATGGATGAATATAACCTAGAAAGGGGAACAAATTGAAAGACAGTGGTTTCATAGGAATGAAATATGCTATTATATAAAAGTGAACATAATTAAACAGTAAAATAAAATCATAATGGATTGCTTTAATAATTGAAAATATTTCTCAAAATACTCTATTATTCTTTGACATCTTAAAATATGGAAGCATCGCATTTTATTTTCTATCATTTTATATTTTATATTGAAACTTCAAATGTCTGTGTCTATTGTCTCTCAGAAATAAACAAAAAGAAAATTAAATATTTTCATCACTCCATCTCCTACAAATTCCATCTTCAATGATAGTTTATTATTTCCTTTTTTCATCTCTGGACTCTCTTCTTGAGAAATCTGTTCTTCTCTGTTCTACTTACATTACATGTCCCTCCTCATCCTTATTATGTTTATTTTGGTTTAGGTTATCTTCAGTATATTATTATTTATTTATTTTTCCTTGTGGTTATTCTGCTGGGCCTTTGAGCTTCTTGAATCTATGAATTTACATTTTTTTAATGAAATTTGAGATAACTGTCATTCTTTATGACATTTTCCTTGCTTCCTTTTCTGCTACTCCAATTGCATTAATATTTTCAAAGTCATTGAAATCTTCCCCCGCCCTCTGTGTACTTAAATTTACATACATAGTTCATTATCTTTTATAGCACCTGATTTGCTATTAGACCACTTTTAGCTATTTTAAACATCTTACATATTCTCCTTTTACTTCTAGAATTTCTATTTTTGTTACGTCCACTTATCACATTTTGTTCATGTTTCCTTTTAAATTCTTCAGCTATGCATGATGATTTTAGATTCTTTGTTAACTAAGTCAACCTTTTTTTGCAATTTCTAAATACGTTCTGAAATAAGAATTTTTTGATGTATTTGAGTAAAATTTCTTTGTTTCTTTGTATGTTGAATATGTTTTGTTGTTAAATAGTACAGCTTTTCACTTGAATAATGGAGTCTTGTCTTCCTTTAACAAATGTTAGAACTTGTTTTGAGTCAGGTTTGTAGGAAACTTACACATTAGCTTTTTGTATAAGTTTTCCTTTTAAGTTTCCTTTTTATTTTTTATTAATGCAGAATTGGTTTAAAGCACTGTATATGATTCAGAAGTATAGGATCACATATTTTCCACCACATGTCACCATAGTGCACCCACAGCCAAGCCTCAGAGCACTCCACCATAGCTTTGGGCCGGCCCTCTCCCCACTTTGCTCTTCTTCCTCTCAGGTAGCCTTAGTTTTCTTAAAGTGATACTCCATTGGCCTGTATTCTACGGCTAGGTTAGCCCAATTGAGGTATAACATTATGGACTTTCTATTAAACATCCTGGATAATCAATGAGGTCTCTTGACTGACTAGTTGGATAATGAATTCTGATTGCAACATGTAAAATTTAGGCACAATCTGAAACTTTCTAATACATCGTATGGCATTTCATAAGTATTCGGCTTAGAATTAGTATTCAGCAAATCCTAAAATACCATATGCTTATGAGATAATGTGTGTTGGGGATATTTTTATATATAATTCCATCCTGTTGGTTAGTATTCATATTCCTGACATACCTACTCCTAGTAATACCTTAATGAGTGTGGAACCTATGAATATGATAGTAGATCACTCCAATGATTACCTTTTAAGATAAAAGTTTTTTAGATGTAATTAATTAACTATAGCCTTTGCTGTGTGTTAGTCAAAAAGGTGATAGTTAAAGCAGTGCCTGGCTAAATCAGACAGACCCTTTACTAGAAAGGAAAAAAAAAATGGGCAGAGATTGGCTTTTGGTCTTAAAGTCAATTTTCATGCTATAGAATGAGTCATATAGGATTGCAATTAGTCCAGTTCTATAGATTTAAGGAATAAAATTCTTCCAAAAACTATTGTGTGTGTAACTTTAGACAAGTTACTTAATTTTTCTGTGCCTTGGTTCTGTTTTTTAATATTTTTTATTAAACTTTTTAATTTTACACCATTGTTCATTTTTGTACAGTATTTGATTTCTTCACTTAGTTATAGTCCCTGTAAATCTCTCACCACCATAACACCTGTGAACCATTACCATAGTCCCTTGTTCTCTTCCCTGCTCTGTTTTGATCCCTCATCTTCTCCCTCCCCTGCAGTATACCTCGGATCTATGGTCAGCTTGCAAGTTTGGTATTTTTTTTTTGACACTTTGTTCAATTTCCCTGTATTTCTCCTATTAGTAATACCGTTCAGTATTTTCCTTTTTTCTTCTAACATATTTTACTGAACAAAATCTCTTACAGCTCTGTCAATGTTGCTGAGTTTATCTTTTTGATCGCTGTGTAGTATTCCATTGTATATATACACCGCATCTTTTTGATCCATTCATCTGGGGAAAAAAACAAAACAAAACAAAACTGAGTTTGAAAGAGAAATGCAAACTCAGTTGATTTGCAACACTGACCCATAAATTATATTCAACACGATGCTACCTTGTGCACAGGAGTCAAGTAACCCATAACTGGAATTATGATCCAGGGAATCTTGGAGATAATAAATTAGAATTTTTTAAGCCATAAGTTTTGTCACAACTTGTCAAATAGCAATACAAAATTACTACAGATTTTGGTAAATACACTGCAGTCATGAACTAATATTTTAAATTCAATCTCTAATTTCAAGCTCTCCAAGTTGCAGTCATATCTTGCCAGCATTTCAAAGTCCCTCTATATTCTTTCTCTCTCTCTCTCTATATATATATATATTATATATTATATATATTATATATATATCCCACTATATTTATAACTGTCCAATATAGAAGGCCTTCTATTTTCTCTTACTTGCATAAGTATTTTTCTTGAGTCCTGGGTTAAAACTGTATTATATTTTCTCTGCATCAGTGCAATATTTATAATAAATCCATTATTATTTTTAAGATTCTTACTGTGGTTCTCCCTTGTATGATCTCAAAAAAAAAAAAAGACTTTTGTTAAATATTTTGTTAAATATTTCATTTTTATGAAACACAGTAATTATGTCATCACATTTAAACCCTTAAGAGACAAAGTGATATTTCTAGGGTACAGATAAAATTGAAGCGAAAAAATTAAGTGATCTATTAAAGATAAAGCAATAGTAATTAACTGAACTAAGAAAGAAATTAAGAATTCTAACTCCAAGTTTTCTGTCATACCATATCCTATATCAAGATACAACATAGGTGTAAGAATTTAAAAAGATAGTAAATAGTCCAGGGATCTCAGTTTTAACTCAGACTGAGTGATTTTCTATTTCAGTTTAGCAAGGAAATTTGCCAAGCTTCCCTGTGTCACAATGTCTTTAACTGAATGTGACTAGTAGCAATAATCATTTTAGATATTTATAATAAGAAAGTAATTCTATGTGCAAAACTTTCTAATGGAACTCATTGCACTGTATCTAGTGACTCAACCTTAGATCTGTTGTCATTGCAGTACTTCTAGGAGTCAAGCTAAAATCTGTTCAGAACGCCCCGAGGGTCCAAAATATGTGGAATTACCTGTACTCTCAGAATTGCACTTCATGCTATGAAAAACTTTTGTAGCTTGTTTTCACCCAAACAACACTAAGGCAAACAAAACTATTGTAGATTTTGGGTAATCCTTGCTTTGAGATCAAATATTATTATTTTTTTTATGGTTGGTAGAACAATAAACACATACATCACTATTCTCAGCTTCACAGCAAATTGTAGTCACTGTCTACAGATATATGTTATAATTATTTTGTGACCTGGCTACTTGGGTGGGCTCAGGAACACTAAATTAATTATTCTGTACTCTGCCATTAGTATAAATTCATTTTATCCTCATTTTAGAATAGCTCAGAAATATCTCTGTACTAATTGACTATTTGATTCTTTTTGTAAGGAGGCATAATTAGCATATAACTGTATATTAGCTTCAATTATATATCACATTTGATATGTGTATATATTGTGAAATGATCACCATAATAATTCTAGTTAATATCCATCTCCATACATAATTAAAATTATTTTTCCTTATGAGGACTTTTAAGATTTCATTTTTAGCAACTTTTAAATATGCAAGAGTATTGTTAACTATAGTCACCCAGCTGTACATTGCATCCCGATCTATTTTTTTTTTTTATTTTTTAAGATTTATTTATTTATACAAGCAATGGGTACAGTCAGAAGCGCGGGAGGGTGAGAGAATTCACCAGAGCCAGAGCGGGGAGCAGAGCAGGCAGAAGGACCGAAATACGCTGCTGAGAGGAGCAGCGGGCGGCAGGAGAGGTCTGCGCGCCATGCGGGTTCGCTCCTCCGGTGCCGGGGAGCAGCCCGCGATCGAACCGGCGCTGCAGAGGCTGCTGGCAGCTTCGCAACCCAGCGCTCAACCGTTGCGCCACCAGGGAGGCCCCCAATCTATTTATTTTATAACTGTAAGTTTATACTTTTTGAGCCCTTTGCCCATTATCCAAATAACTGTTTAAAACTCATTAATTTTATCATTAAACATTACTTAAGAATTTTAGTTAAAATTCTTCAGTAACTCCCAATGCAAAACGTCTTGTGCTTTGTTTGTATGCTGATGTCACTTTTAGAGACAGCTTTTTATCAAATTGTTCACGAGAAAAAGTTACTTCTCCGTGTGTGTGTATGTTGATATTTGTTCAGTAAGCTATTTTCTCTAAAAAATAGTAATTAAGATTTCATTCCAGTAGTATTGAAATAATACAAAAATTAAAATATTTACTTTTCAAATTTTCTTCAAACAGCTTCTAAGATCCTCATTTACGACGTGCCCTCTTTTTCTTTTGTGCTTACACTTTTGCACTAATTTATAAAATTCAATGAAGTAGAAATTGTGTTGCATTGGATGCATGGTGTTTTATTTATTTATATAATTCATTATCCTTTAAAGAGTTGTCATTCTCTCATTTAACAGTCAGGGGTAAAGATTATTCAGGGATAAAATCAGGGCCTCCCTGGTGGCACAGGTGTTTGAGCGCAGCCCTGTGAAGCTGTCTGCAGCCTCTGCAGTAGCGGTTCAATCCCCGCCAGCCTCGGAGCAACCCACATGGCGAGCAGACCTCTCCTTTCTCGCCTGCTGCTCCCCTCAGCAGTGTATTTTGTCAGTCTGTTCTGTTCCATGCTCTGTCTCTGGTGAATCCTCTCATCCTCCCACGCATCTGAACTGTAACCTGACTCTTGCATAAATAAAATAAATCTTTTTAAAAAAAGGATAAAATCAGGCAATGATTATATATAAAACCTACCAATAAATTTTGAATTATAAGCATTCAAAATTTATACTCAAAATTTAATATTAGACCTACAAAATTATAATGTTCCTTTTTATGGAGGGTAGATGTAGCTATCAAATATTTTCTACTTTATTTTGTTTGAATTATTTACCTTAATGCCTTTTATATAGCTATCAAAAATTAGAATGTATATTTTATGGAATTTTAAAGGTAACTGAATATTTTCTTAAGGAACCAATTGTGTTACCATTAACAACGGAAACAATATAATTTCTATTGCTCTAAGAATAAGATGCCCACACTATAACTAGGTAATGCTTTTATTACTATCTTTCCATTGCATAACATATTGTCTACACATGTCTCAATGAGCAATAAGATAAAACAAACAAAATGGTAATCGCACGTGTATCAATTCCTGGAAAACATTCTAAAAGGGAAACTTTTTTAAAAAGGTTGGTGGGGCCTCCCCGGTGGTGCAGTGGGTTGAGCACAGCCCTGTGAAGCTGTCCGCAGCCTCTGCTGCACCAGTTCAATTCCTGGCTAGCCAGGGAGATGCCCACATGGCGCTGCAGACCTCTCCTGTCTTGCCCCCTGCTCCTCTCAGCAATGTTTTCAGTTCACCTGCCTGTTCTGCTCCCCACTCTGTCTCTGGCGAATCCTCTCACCCTCCTGTGCCTCTAACCCATACCCCAGTTCTTGTATAAATAAATAAATATTTTAAAAATAATTACAATGAATTTTTAAAGAAATGTTGGTGTGGAAATAACTATAGTAGTAGTGTTAGTTAAAAAAAGTTACTGTTTTGAAGATCTAATGAGTTTTCAGAGGTATATCTGAAAAGTAACACCAGATGGTTCTAGAGGAGATTATTCTATGACATTTACATAGTCAACCCTTCATTCTTCATCACATGGCACTACACATCTGCATTTTGTAAACTCTGCAACCTGGACCTACCCCATAGCCTAATTTTTATTGCCAAGAATTAACTTTGTTTTGCCAAGACAATTCCAGAAAAATGCCAAATCACATGCAAATATGCAAAAACTTAGTGCAAATAATCTAAAATCTATTTTGATTGAATTGTTAATTCTTCCCTACTTTATCTATTTTTGAGAATGTCTTCCTTTGTTGATTATATGTTCCTTTGCTTAAACCTCACAAATGCTATTGGTCAATTTATTTCAATTATCTTCTTTAGGGCAGCTTTACTAATGTTTCATCATAATCATTTTCTTTGAGAGTGAATGATAAATTCCAATTCACATTCTAATTCATATTAGTTAAAATTACAGTGTAGGTGTTTACGTACAAATGAATGTTCCTTTTCATTTATGCTGCCATTACAACTCTGCCTATTGCAATCTGTTATGAAAAATTATGAAATTTTCCAAATATTTAAATTCTATTTGAAATGCTGTGTAAATTCATTTAGTCATTTCACTGAAATCTTTTCCATACCTCTTATGTCATATACAGTGTGATCAATTGAATAGTGCAACAAAAGCCCTTTGATTTGTCTTTTAAAGCTGTATTAAAATTTTATACAAATAGTTTCACATTACTGATCCTTTTAGTTGTTTTTTTATGAAATAATTTTATTCCTTTAGATTTTATTATTTTTTGTAAAATTAATATTGCCTGTTAAGATCCTCATGATCTAAAGAATTTACTCAGTGGACTGATGACAGAAGGAAAGCAAACTAATCATTATGGAATCATGTTTATTTTATTGCTTCATATAATGTATTGTTGTTTCACCATAATCTCATCCTGGCATTTATTAATAAGTTTAATTTTGCCTAACTGAAGGTTTTTCTCCCTTTTCCATTCAGGTTGTATGTTTCAGCTTGAAGGGCATCTTTTTTATTGGAGAACTTTTAATAGGTCGATTACTAAATAGTAACTTGCTTTGTGACATCTTCATTAGCAAGAGGGACAAAAGTAAATCTCACAATGCCATATGTCAAAATCCAGTTCTTTCTATCTTGCATCAGTTCTAATCCCATCATGCATAAAACTGATGAATCTCACAAAGTAATACATATGATTTATTTATCTTTAAAATGAATCAAAGAAATGATTTGTATTGAGAAAGAGTGCTCAAGCCAGGTAAAAATTATAAAAACAAAAGAATAAGACAGAATGAATCAGGTTGGTATTCTTGGATCGTATTTCTGTCTTTGGCACTGATCTATGTTTCTCTGCAGTGCCTCTCACTATGGAAGTTAGGTATGCGACAGAAATATTGGACTGTAAAAATAATAAATGGGTGTGAAACTCCTTCCCTATATTTAGTATATAGCGCCTGTGTCAAGTTAAACACTGAAAGGTTTGAGTTCCAACAGGCTTGTGAGTAAAGATTGTTAATGCTGATTAAATATAGAATAACGATAATTCTAAAGAGATTGCTTGTTCAAATCCTTTTAAAATTGCAAAAAAAAAAAAAAACAGGGGAGGTTGTTGGAGGCATGAGAGGCGCACATTTTCTTTAAGTTTGAATATGCACTAATGTGCTTTTGGTGGAAATAATGTTTGGGGGCGTGTCTGCATGATTGAAGTATCATAAACCAAATGTACCTTGTAATCAGAACTAGCACAGAGTAAAGTTTGATATAAAATTTTGTGCCAAGCACATATAGAATGGTCAGCTTAATCTGGGAAACACATTAATAACTGCTATAAGCTTCTCAATGGCCATATTTTTCCTTATGAAAGCTTTTTTTAATATTTAAAACCTCTGTACTTATTAGTTTATTAGTATTATCCAGGACTCAGATGTTCAATATTCATCCTGAAATTACATAAAACAAATGCAAATGGAAAGAATCCAAGTCAAAATTATATAACAAAACAGCACTCCATCACAAAAGTGTGTAAAATTACAAGAATGCTATTTTAAAACACTGGCACTTTAAGAGAACAATAATTTCAAAAACCACAATTGTCAAATTGTTCCCTTAACTGCTATACAGATAAACATATGACCCTGATGGATGAATTTGGTTTAAAAAAAATTTCAACTAAATTGGGTAACTCGTATCAAGTGTTTTCTTTCCTTATGTCCATTTATAAAGGGACAAACTATAATATAGGAAAATATACCTGATTTACAATGTGATAGTCACAATTTTAATGGAGACTAGTTTCCAAAGTCATCCATACTTAAAGACATTTATAGCCAGTAGTTTTCTGAGTCTTTGATGGAACTCACCTCAACAAAAATTTAATATGGCAGTCTTGTATTTTATTATTTTTTTTTTTTTAATAGAGGCATGTTTTATTTATTTATTTATTTGTTTGTTCTGTTTATACATGCACTGGGTACAGTCAGAAGCGCGGGAGGGTGAGAGAATTCACCAGAGCCAGAGCGGGGAGCAGAGCAGGCAGAAGGACCGAAGTACACTGCTGAGGGGAGCAGCGGGCAGCAGGAGAGGTCTGCGCGCCATGTGGGACCCTCCTCCGGTGGCCGGGGAGCAGCCGGGGATCGAACCGGCGCCGCAGAGGCCGCGGGCAGCTTCGCAACCCAGCGCTCAACCGCTGCGCCACTGGTGAGGCCCCAGTCTTGTATTTTAACTTCACACTTTTGGGTTTACATTCTCAGGTCTTCAACGCGGGAACTGCAAATATAACTACCATTACATGGTAGTGGGAGTTAAAGAATATAGAGTCCTCATGTTAAGATTAGAACATACTTTTCTCAGTCCTTCAAGGGCAGACTCTCAAAATGTTTGATTCTAATAATCCCATGCTGTGAGTAGATTGGTTTAACTCTCCGCTTTATAAATGTAACTGGGCCATATGAAATTTGACATCAACTCATCAAGATTTTGATGGGTGAAAATAGTCTCAATTCAACTTTTATTACCCTCAACACGAATATGCAGGGTGTGTAGAAAAAAGTTTATTTTATCAGCTAACTATATGAAAAGATAAACATCAGTAATAACTCATGTGATCCAAATGGGCAAAAAAAAAAAGCAAAAGACTAGCCTCCCTTGAGAAGAAAAATTTCAGACCTATGAAAAGGACAACAGTACTAATAAAAAAAATGTATTTACTTAGAAGCATTCAGAATGTCAAGAAAACAGCTGCAACTTTTTTTTTTTTTGCAATTACAGAGTGGTTTTCAGTTAACAAAACAACAATTATTTCGTATAAGCTGCATCATAGACAACTGAAGATGAAAAACTACCATCCCCATATATAACTAATTTGTGCTGTGCACCAACAAGAACCTGCTTTAAATTTCCATGCCAATTTACAACCCCCATACTGTACCAGGCAAGGTTAGTGGCTATTGAAAATACCACCAGGACAGGGCTATCTAAAGACACATTCGGTAGTGTGTTAACTATACAAAAAAAGACACTGTAAAGTTTATAAACAAATCTTACACAACCTTACATTTCAATTTTTTTTCTTTAAAAGGAGTGAGTTGTGTACAGGGGGGTTAAATGCTTTATAGACAAGAAAAAAAAAAACTGCGCTAGAACCAACTTATTCATCATCATCATCCTCTTCTTCATCTTCCTCCTCTTCCTCATCCTCTTCATCTTCCTCATCTTCCTTCTCTTCCTTCTTTTTCTTGCTCTTTTCTGCCTTGACAACCCCTTTTTTGGCCGCATCAGGCTTTCCTTTAGCTCGGTATGCAGTAATATCCTTTTCGTATTTTTCCTTCAGTTTATCAGCCTTCTTTTCCTAAGGCTGCTTGTCATCTGCAGTAGTGTTATTCCACATCTCTCCCAGCTTCTTTGCAACATCACCAATGGATAGACCAGGATGTTCTTCTTTGATTTTTGGGTGATACCGGAACAAAATAAGAAAAAGGCCGAAGGAGGCCTCTTGGGTGCATTGGGATCCTTGAACTTCTTTTTTGTTTACCTTTTAGGGGGGATATAAGTTTTCATTTCTCTTTCATAACAGGCCTTATCTGCCTTTGCCATGTCTTCAAACTTTCCTTTTTCTTTAGTAGACATGGTCTTCCACCTCTCTGAGCACTTCTTAGAAAACTCTGAGAAGCTGACTGAAGCATCTGGGTGCTTCTTCTTGTGCTCCTCTCGGCAAGTTTGCACAAAAAATGCATATGATGACATTTTGCCTCTCAGCTTCTTAGGATCTCCCTTGCCCATGTTTAATTACTTTTCCTCAGCGAGGCACAGAGTCGCTCAGTGCCCATCTGACTCTCACTTGCCCAGGCACTGTCTCTATGGAGCTCAAAGTACTGCAATGGCTGTGAGAGTGGGAGCCAGACGCAGCCTCTCCTTATGAAAGCTTTGATATAGTTTGTCCTAAGACAAAAGATCACTAACAAATAGGGACAAAAATGTGAGTGTTCTAGTCCTAGTTCTTTGTACAGTGTTAACTTCTTGATCCTGTAGGTTAAAGATTTGGGAACTATACAAATGACCTCTGTGAATTTAACATTGGCAATATATATTTTGCATTGGTTAGATTAACTGCTTGTTACATTTTTTTTTTTTTTTAGTTTTTATTTCATTTATTTTACATAGAAGATTAGGGTGTAGGCCAGATGATACGGGGGGGGGGTAAGAAGGTTCACCAGAGACAGAGTGGGGGCAGAACAAATGCATTTACTGAAATGTACTGCCAAGGGGACCAGTGGGCGATACAGGGGAGGTCTGCTGTGCCACATATGGGTTAGCTCCCTGGCCTGGGATTGAATTCAGGCTGTAATGATGGCAGTGCTGAGATTTAACCCCTAGGCTACCAGGCAGGTCTGCTTATTACAGTTTAATGTTGACTGTAGTATCACCCAAAAAAAGGTAGTACAGATACCACATCTGAGGAGAGAAATCACATATTCTCCAAAAATAGCAATGATGTAATAAAAAATTAAAAATTAGAAAAGATAATTCTAAAGATGCTCTTAAAAATCAAAGTTGGATTATTTTAGACTATACAACCATACAAGTAGTTTGGCTTTGAATGATAGTAATCCTATCAGCATGTACATATGTTTTATTCTCTATAGCATTTATTTTAATGAGAGTTATAATGGAACTAATTTATTTTATTTTTTTAAAGATTTATTTGTTTATGTAGACAAGAACTGGGGTACAGGCCAAATGTGCGGGTGGTGAGAGGATTCACCAGAGACAGAGTGGGGAAGAGAACAGGCAGATTGACCAAAACACACTGTTGAGGGGAGCAGTGGGCAAGCCAGGAGAGGTCTGCTGTGCCATGTGGGTCACCTCCTTGGCCAGTGATCGAACCTGTGCTGCAGAGGCTGCAGATGGCTTCATAGGTAGCATCTTAAGCCCCTGCGCCACCAGGGAGGCCCTGGGACTAATTTTTTTTTTTAAAATATCATATGTTTTCAATTAAATACCATGTTCCAAAGATATTTCAATTTCTAATTTTCACAAAACTATCATATTCAAATAATTTGATGTGCAGTTCTTATTGGCACAGATCCTGTATAATGTTACAGTAGTGAGCAACTACAGACTCTGTCATCATCATAACTGAGTAGGGAAAAATTAATCAAATGATCATAAAAACTCACTGAGCCTTAGAGTTTTAAATGAATCTCCCAAATTATACATACAGCAATTTGCTGACCAAAGAGAAAGCCAGATTGTCTCATTCCAGACCCCATGCTGATAAACACTGAGCTATGATAGTTTCTGTCAGGTGTCTTTACAAGTACATTGAATCTTTTCATTGTGAAGATAAATGAAAATATAATCAACTCTAAGTATTTCATTAGAAAATATTTGAAACTTAGTTCTTTTAAATCTAAAAGCATTAAAACATTTTTACTAATGATAATTTTTTAAAGATTTATTTTTTTATGCATACAAGAGCTGGGGCACAGGCCAGAGATGGGGGGGTGCGTGAGAGGATTCACCAGAGACAGAGTGGGGAACAGAACAGTCAGACTGACAAAATCCACTGCTGAGGGGAACAGAGGATGAGGCAAGAGAGGTCTGCTGCACCATGTGGGTTGCTCCCTGGCTGGCCGGGGATCAAACTCATGCTACAGAGGCTGTGGATTGCTTCATAGCGTGGTGCTTAACCACTGGCACCACCAGGGAGGCCCTACTAATGATAATTTTAATGATAACTTTTAAGTACAAATTCTTAGCACTAGGCATTTTTTCCCCTAAGAATCTTATTTTACCATTAGCTTTGCACAGTAAAATACATTTCAGTTTAGGTATTTCATTATAATAATACAGATAATCAAACTTGTATTAGTCAGACCAAAGTAGGGCGTTCTATTAGTGGGGTTATAAATAAGTGGCATTACATTAGTAGAGTAACTTTTTAACTTTATCAAGTCACAAAGCAAATAGTTACTACTAAGTTGCATTTAGTAATTTCCCTTAATACATTTTAGAAGAATAGTTGTCATCTTAAGTGAATGAATTACTGAAATGATTTTTACTATTTCTTTCATTTATAGTTGTTTATATAATACTGTGGTACATCAGAGATAAAGCCTATGATTTAAATGTATGTGTTAAAATGGAAATAGTTCAATAATGCAAATTACTGAAACACAACTGCTGAATGATCCATGGGAAATCATATCATGTATGAAGACTTTAAAAATAGTCTATTTAGATATGTAAAATATCCTGTTTACCTGGGGTTTGTAGATGAATTTGGGATGGATGAGTATCAAAGTAAAACTGAACATTAACTTTCTTTATCTCATTTCTTAGGCATAAAGAAAGTAGTAGCCAAGTGAACAATAGACAATTGTAAGGGATGGATAAACATCTTTTTGATTTAATATTTATACTTTTTTCTGTAAGTTTAAATGTATCTTTTCAAGAAAATATAGAAATCTTTTAAGAAATTATTATCAATATATGAAAACATTTATGTAATATATGTTGATACTATGAAAACTTGTTGAATTTCTATATATTGTAAGCAAAAATATGATCTTTGTTAAAGTGAAAGACAATAAACATAATACACAAATCCTTTCCTGAGAATTCAAGTCATCTCTGTGTCTATTGCCACAAGAGAGGGCAATCAGGAGAAGTGTATATTGAGTTTTATATATTTCAAGAGATTAAAGCTCTTTAAGTTGTGGCAATAAAACTGGGATGAGCAAATAAGCTGACTTCCTTTTACCATTAGATGAAAGAATCTAATTTAGTATAAATAGACACTGTGGATTGAAGAGTAATGGAATAGAAATATTTGGGAAACGTTTTATCTTTTAGAGTAGGTTGGAGCAAGAGTATATTAACTGAGGTCAAAGAAAAGAGAAATTGTCAGCCATGCTAATTTTGTAGACAGGTCTTTGCTCCTGAGAGAAGAGCCATCTGCTGAGGAGATTCTTTTGATCATATTACAATCCCTTAATTTAATACCTTGCTCAGGAGTAAAGTTAGGACAAACATTATGATTAATAACATTTCTTAACACCTATGGAGATTTGGATATTGATATACTAGGTAAGACTAAGCAAAAACAAGTCACCTCAAATAACTAAGATGGTATGTGTGTATAAGTGTGTAAAACACTTGTTTTAATTTATATATTTCATACATATGAAAGTTCTAATATGTTAAGGAACTTGACCTTCATCATATATAAAAAGCTGCACAGATGAGTATCATTCTGAAATATACCAACTGACCAAGAAAACCATCCTCAAATTCAAAGCTAATCAAATTGCTTTAAGACAACTTAAACATAACTAACATGAGAAATGATGCTAAATGCAAATGAATTAATATTCATTTGAGAAGTGTTTTAATTGCACTCACTCTTTATGTGTTCTTTTGGTATAGCAAGATGAAATGAGATACAGACTCTGTTATAGAAATATTCATATTAGAATTCTTAAAAATTAACTTTCATTTTAAATCACACATCTAAGTTTTCTAAGAATTCAAATGGAAGGTGCAAAATTTACCTAGCAGGAATCTAGAGAGAATTAAATAACATGTCACTTAACTTTCATACAAAAGAAATTAAAAAAAAAAAAAAAACAACACAGCAGAAATAAAATATGAACTGAGTGTAAACTTTAACATTCCTTGAAGGTATTCTTGACTCTTGATTCTCTTTAATGTTCTTTTTTGAGGACATTAGTCCTGGTTGAGGTTTGATCTTACTCATTGTCCTAAATTTATCTGAAACCATAAACCACTATTAGCCTAGCAATGGACTTTAAGATGAGAAGGTCTAGGAAACTGAAAAGACAATTTAGAATTATGTTCTTAAACATATCATTGATAAACATGCATTTATACACAAACCTCGCCTTTACTGTTAAATATGAATTTTCTAGACTTGTTCACATATGTACTAGAAATCCAAAAAAAAAAACAGTTTTATTTCCACTTTTCCACCAATTCACTATATGTGCACAGCTACTAAATTATGGTTTAATATTTTGGTTTTGTTACATATTAAATTCTAAACAAAAACATTTCTACAACTCTTAATTCTGTTAAATTGGTTTAATAATTCCTTTTATAACAAAATGAATTACTTTTGTTTTCATACACACACATTCATTTAAATCTTAAAAAATATTCTGCCTATTTCTGTTTATTATTTCCTTTTGCCTAGTGACCTTCTAGAGAGATTAATTACTAAATATCTACGTTTCTCCAATAATGAAGAAAAATGATCTGCCCAATTGTTAAAACAATTTTTTCCAAAGCTATTTTCAGGATTGTTCTTTTTAATGGTCTCATTTAAAATCTTTTTAGAGAAAGTAAATGTCTTCTGCCTAGGACAGGATGACAAAAGAGGTCATTGGAGTCTTAAATACAAGGGCATACAAGGGTTATGAACACTGAACAACTTGAGCAAGAATAAGGAACAACTGGACCACCCAGACAGTATCAGAGTTGGTAGGGCAGATTTGTTTGTTTTTCATATAGTCAGGTGAATAGTTTGTGTATTCTGATCACAGATGTTATTCCAAGCACTTTAACCAAATAGGTATTTTCAGGGGATGCCCTGCAGTTTTCAGAAAGAGAACTAATAAAATGAAAGCTTCCAATCATTGAATGTATATTAGGATAAAATCCAAATCAGAATGGGAATAGCCTTCCATTGTAAATTATAGGTTGTTTCATGTGTTACATAAAAAAAAAAAAAGTAGAAATTTCTGAGCATGAGTACTTGAAAATATCCTCTTAGAGAACATATCCAGAAAAAAGAAAAAAAAAAAAAAACTGACAACTAATGTGAGAGAACTGGATAACCCAGGATTCATGAGTGAGACAATAGATCCTAGGAAATGGGAGGACAATTTGCTTATGGTATAATTGAATTTGGGATTAGAAATGAATTATCTTACATTCTCAAATATCTTTGAAAAGCATACTCGTCTTTTCTCTAACAAGATCATTACTTCACTTGAGTTATTCTGAAATGGAGGTTTCTCATTTTTTTCCCTACTATAATATCACTACAAGCCATAAGTTTATAGATATCATTATTTCT